GTATAATAATTTCTTTAAACAGATATTTCAATATAGAGAAGTGTATGTATAATAATTTCTTTAAACAGATATTTCAATATAGAGAATGAATTGCCGACACATTTAAAGTAACGCTTTTTTTTAAAATAAATTCAAACTTGGTATCCGTGTTCCCTGGCACCCACGGGAGGTATTGCATATGAGCGGAATCGGATCATTGGCACAACCATAAAATGTCGTTAAGGTAAAAATTATAAAGGGCTATAACTAAGCCACAAATTAAGGCACACAGGGCATTGAGGCATAGAAATCTGTAATTTAAAATATTTTTAAAAGTGGGAGTGACCCCGTACATAATGAGTTTAATGTTGCCGAAAATAAGACCTTCTTCATATACTGCGAAAATTTATGAAAAGAAGGTAACAGTTATGATGAAAACTATTAAAAGTAACTACCTAAATAAATACATATGAAGCATAAAATTTAAAAACTAAAATGGTACTTAAGAGAGCACTTAAGGATAGATTATGGAACCTGCCCCGTTCTACAACCATTACAAAATTTTAAAATATACATATATAAGGATCATACAATATATAGATATCACTTTGCATACATTAAGAACCAAAAAAGTTATCGAAATAAAACTTACTACAACCATTATAAAATTTTAAGATATACATATATGATCCTTTCACTTTACATACATTAAGGATCAAACAAGTTATCGGAATAGAACTTGGCAAAAATATTACCTTTTAGGTATACCATCCATCATGCCTAAAAAATATTGAAATCAAATCACAACTTTTCAAGCCCTCAGACACCAAATATATGCACCCCAGTAAGCATTGTCAACTTTTTACTGAAAAAATCATTCAATATGATAGATATACCTATTATTAAAATTTAGAGAGAGTTTTTTGCCATATAACAATTTGCCCTTGTGCCAATGGGTAAAATCGGACCAATACCAAGATTCGAACTTCCAGTTTGATTATATAAGTGGTATATTGATTTATTAATACACGTCTGGGCGACGTGATAGCCAAAATCCAACTGGCGTTCCTAGCTTAGAATGTAATACGTTATATTGAGGTAACGGTGATCGACAAGCGAAGGTGGCTGGAATGCTAGAAAGAGTCTCCAAAAATTCACCGTTTTAAATGTTGTGAAACGAACGCACGTGCTGTACCTGTTACTACGTCGCAGTATATAGGAAAGTTCCGTGGTATTACTGTTAATTTTGCACAGTTCTAGTGGTGTGTTCGAGCTGCGAGAGTTGTTGAAGTTCTGCATCGTTGGTTTGAGCACATTAAAGTTCTCGCGGATGTCACTCCTGTGTGAATGGCATCGACTGAAGATAAGGTATATTGCTTGAGCTGGATATGTACCATATGTCATTGGTATACTGGGTCGAGTCGTCGAAATTGATATAGTGAAGCGCATTGGGGCTTCTGTTTGAATGTATGCATTAAGGTTTTGTGATCTGTGTAGATTACGATGTGTCGTCCTTCAAAATTGTGTCTAAAATATTGAACTGCTTCGAAAATGACATTGAGTTCACGATCGTAGGTTGATCGTTTTTGAACAAATGGTGCAAATTTGCGACTAAAGAAAGCGAATGGTTGCCAATCTTTGCCAATGCTTTGCTGAAGGGGCCACTCAGCGTTGTTGTCCGAGTAAATTTGGGGCATTCTTAATCCTTGAAAGATAACGTTAAAAAAACGTATTTTCTTTTAAAGATAATAAGAATGTCAAAGATTTTAAAATTATTCGACTTTTGGCTGAGATCATATATTTCATTAATTTCCAGTGTTGTGAGGTACACATAAAGACCAAACAAGGCAAACTGCGTGTTTGAAGTTGCTCTGAATACAAATGAAAGTCTGAGAGCATAAACAAAAAGAAGTACGTCATTTCTACGTATCGTTATCTTACTAGGGTTAATAAATTTACGGTAAAAATGTATTGTACCAATGAAGTATAGCTTGGTGATTGTTGATGGACGAGGGTAGTCGATAATGCGTTCCGCAAGTGGTTTGACTTCTTTGAGGCTTAGGCATGTTTTTATTGTGTTGATGACTAAGCCATAGTGATGAAGGCGCTGAAAGACGATACGCAAATGTTGTTTGTGCTCTGTTTCATTAGCAGATGCGACCAGTAGATCATCGATGCATGCGAAAACGAAAATTAGATTTCGGATTATCTCATCAATGAAGCATTGAAAGGTCCGAGCTGCGTTTCGGAGTCCGAAGGTCATAAATGGGAACTCGAAGAGAAGAAACGTGGTTTGGTTCAAAGCACGAATTAGGTCGATGCTTGAATAGCATGATGTCCCGGTTGCGGTGAAATCTTTTAAGCATTGAACTGACCATGATGGTCTTGCAATACCCAGATAAATCGTCATTTGAAACTCAGCTTTAGCGATTAATCAACGAGATCGACTTCTAAGTGGAACGTCAGGTGTTGTCTTTATATGATGTTGCGTTGTGTGGAAATTTGTTTGGGTTCACTATTGGGACGTGTGATCTAAGGGTATTCGACAAACAATTGCTAAAGATGATAAGATGATTGATCCGGCTGTTGTAGTTTAATCGACTGTATAGTCACGCTTCTGCTTGTGTCTGAGGTGCAAAGTCGAGTGGTTTCGTCGATGAGTCGTTGGTTTTTGAGATCAACATGGATTGCGTAAGTTGAGAGTAAATCGCCGACAATGATTGGATTGGGGACATTGAACAGTATGAAACGCCATATAAGCCAGATGTTTAAAACGATTTTTGCGACACCGTAAGTATTAATGGGTGCTCCGTTACTTGCGATAAATTGGTAGCCGGTCGCCATCTTCATATTTGTTGCTTGTCTGGGAGGGTAAATTGAGACTTCGGAGCCTATGTCTATTAGAAAATGCTCCGTGATGAATAGGTCGTAAAATGATGGAAGAGAGGCGCTTTCCGCCTCTAACGTCTTTCTGTTTCGTTTCCCGCTTGTTTGCAACCAGGTTTGCATTGGTGTTTCTAGTTGACAAGGCAGGAGAAACCGATCTGTGGTTTGATAGGTGTCCAAAAGCTTCTGAAGACATTTCGTGATGTGAGCGCATTGTTGCTATACGTCTGTATGTTTGGAGAGTTGAGTTTTTGGAAGCATTGCTGCAACTATATGATGTCCCTAAGTTTACAGCACGTCGAGTAAACGATCCGCGGCTTCGCGGAACTGGGATTCTAATTGTGCGCATCAGAGGACTGGCTTGTCCTGGTTGAAGCTAGAAACACGTATTGTAGCAGGGCTGGCAGGGTTTCCCTGAAAAAAGGAAGCCTTCAACAGGAGAGGTGTATCATCATAGTCAGACATGTCGATATACAGTTGAATTAATAGATAAAGTGAATAATGCATAATATAGTTGCGAAATGTATCGAATTGTTAAAGGTAACAATTTCAATTCCGAGTGACTGTCTGTCTGTATCTTCTATTAAACTACTTAACTTATATTAAATCATAGTCTCATTTAGATTCATTACCATATTTTGCAACGTGTCCAAGTAATTTATATTAGAATAATGAGGAAAAAGTTACACAAAGAACTGGAAATCATATTAATAGGCACATGAATGAAGCCACATTATTTTTAAGAAAATACATCCACTGTAAAATATTATACATTTTGACCAATATAGACGGCGTAAAGCGAGAAGGATAGTCGGAATTCCCTGTATTGGGTATATTGGGCCTAAAGAAGATCTCGACCGATACTCAAGAATATGTTCCCACACAATTTAATGAAGATAACACTGACCGTGTCTGCTAATTTTAAGAAAAGAAATTTTAAGTAAGGAGCTAAGATAATTCGTTGACCGACTTAACACATTTTCTGTATGTCAAAAATAAGTTGAATTGAGTCAATAGTTACCGTAGCTCTTATATTAAGGTTTTCAAATATCTCCCTTCCGCTTTTTTGTCTTTTGAATTTCGCGGCTATGTACAAAGCGCTACAGAGCTCGTATCTGGCAACACTATACATAATTTGAAATCTTGACATAACCTACAAAACAACGCTATGCATGATTAGTTTGGATATTGCGTTCAACAGTTATAGACGTGTAAACATGGAGTTCACTAACGCCGAAATTCGCGCTATTTTAAAGTTTTCCTTCGTTAAAGGCAAATCCGCTAGAGAAACGTTCCGTGAGATTAATGGTGTTTTGGGGGATGGTACTCTATCACTTCGAACCGCGGAGGAATGGTTTCGACGATTCAGAGCCGGTGAAAACGACACCATGGATAAGCCATCCGGCGGAAGACCTGTGACGACAAATACCGATCAAATCATGGAATACATCGAGTTAGACCGGCATATGGCATCTCGTGACATCGCCCAGGAGATGGGAGTTAGTCACCAAACCATTTTGAACCATCTGCAGAAGGCTGGATACAAAAACAAGTTTGATGTTTGGGTGCCGCATAATTTGACGCAAAAAAACCTTCTGGACCGAATCAACGCCTGCGATATGCTGCTGAAACGGAACGAACTCGTCCCATTCTTGAAGCGGATGGTGACTGGCTACAAATGGATCTCATACGACAATATCAAGCGAAAACGGTCGTGGTCGAAGGCCGGTGAATCGTCCCAAACAGTGGCCAAGCCGGGATTGACGGCCAGGAAGGTTTTGCTGTGTGTTTGGTGGGATTGGAAGGGAATCATCCACTATGAATTTGAATTCTTCACAAATAAGGAGGGGGGCTTCTACGAGGAAGGTATTATGAAGTTGCCGTCTAGATGGAAACAGATCATCGAACAAAACGGCGCATATTTTAACTAAATCCGATCACTGTAACACTTTTTATAAAGCATTGAAT